TTACACATCCTTCAGTGACATCAAGTCCCATCACTGGGAGCAAAAATAACAACAATATTTGCAGTTAGGATACTTTCTGTGTCATGATCTTTGCCAAATGAATTTATTTAAGTGTACAGATTGTAATTTGTTTTGCCTTTTTACACACCATTAACAAAGTTTTTAATTTGGACAACTACCTGAAAATTTGAAAAAAGCTTATTTTAACAATTAAATTGTTATTTTGTTATTATCGCGTTTTTTTTTAAACAAGAATAACGTTGTATTATAACGCCTTGAATAGGAATCAAATAAACATCAATCAAATATTTTATAATCTTTCATATTTATTCTCACTCAGTGTGATAAATGGTTTGGATGAACACAGATCTGATAGCCTGGCAGTAATCAATCGAAGACACACTAAGCTCTTCCTCCACAGCTCTCAGTCTTTCTGTTTTTAGTTTTTACAGAAGTCAGGCTATTTCTTTCGCCGCTTCGGGTCTGAACATGTCCTTTACAATGGCTTTGCAGGTGGGAAGTATTAATTGCTTTGCCACTGGGACTTTTATGATGAAACCACAAGTTCAGCGACGTAGTAACTTGCTTTCAGTGCTCTCTCGTTGACCTTTGCGGTTTTTCTCATGAACGTTGCTCCTTTCTCCGTGTATTCACGCAGACGGACAAAATACTCCACAGTTTTGTTTGTAGATAGTGTAGGGTGTTTTGTTTGGAGATGGAGTTTAAGCATACTTGGGACCATAGCGCTGTTGGAGAGCTTTTCACCACATACCAACCACAACGGAGTCAGTGCCGTTGCATCTCCGGTAAAAGTAAATCCAAATGAACGATAGCTTTCGCTGTATTGCCTCGTGCCATAGACTTCGCTTGTCTCAAAGTACAAGGCAGGAAGCTAGCTGCTGCTGCTACCTACCGGTATGGAAGAGTACTACATGATTACTCTTCCAGGTGATAGACCGCACAGGCATACATACATATTGGATATTTTCCCACGGTACACCTGACAATATCGAGCGGTTTCAAACACTGTGCTGTTTGAAAAACACTGGTGTAGATGAAAGTGAGAGTATATTGAGACGGTACTAAATATCTTCCGTATGTGTGTGTGAAACAAGAATGCATGGATATTAGGGATCCCATCTTAAAGTCTAGAATGTTACTTTCTCACTCTGCAATCAAGTTCTTGAATGAAGAAGCAAGAACACCCAAACACATGCTCAAAGGTACCCCTTTATTAATTGCAGTGTCCAAGTATTTTTGACGATGAATAACAACTGAAAATTTGTGAGCAATTGTTGGCTTTTTACCAAGAGTCGTCAAAATAGTGGAAATTACATTTCTGTACAATGCGATTGGAGGTCTGATTCGATCAGTAATGTTTCAACTTTTTGGCACAAACGAAACGTCTTCGACCATTGCATCCAGCATCACTCCAGAATTGACCTGTAAGTAAAGAGATCAACATAAAGGTTTAAATATGATACAACCAAAGTTTTGTTGATGACATTTGCTATGAATCAACCAGAGACAACCAGACAATCTGAGATATTTGCAGGATTGGGGATTAACAGCGTTCTGTAATTGGGACACAACAGTACAGTGGAACCTTGAGTTGTGACCCGTTGCAAAAAATGAAGAAAGACTCAGATCGGGCCTGTCTGACCTGCTGGCCATGCGGAATGGTGGGCACTGAGTCAAAAACTCGCGTGTGGGAGGAGTTCGATGAGGCCATGAAAGCCGTCTTCCCGACCGCTTGGGAGAAATCCTGGTCCACCCTCTCTCAGGAGGGAGGACCAGTGCACCATTACCACTGTATATAGTGGAGATGGGGTGGACGGAAGTAGTTTTTCATCTGTCCTTGTAATTGTCCCTAACTGGGTCAAATACCTACGGACGCCCATGTCACTCACGAAGGACAGAAACACACCCAGCCTGTCTTGCGTATATAATCCGCCAATACACTACGTCAGACTGAATGTGAAATATCACAGCGTGCCGCTTGTCTCGTGCGTGTTCACCGTGTTTGTTTGTGGGATTGACTTCACTTGGCTTCAGGCAGACAAGTGAAGGAGCACTCATCCTCCATCCAAAAATTTTAAACATCGCCAGTCAGTCTTGTGACCAACGGCGGTTCTGTTAGCTATATTGGATGACACTTAAACAGTTGAAAACAATTTCTAGCCGGGTAAAAAAGCTGGCTGTGTTTTATGCCTCTCGGTCCCATCCCACTCCATATGTGTGTGTGTGTGTGTGTGTGTGTGCGTGTGTGCGTGTGTGTGTGTGTGTGTGTGTGTGCGTGTGTGCGTGTGTGTGTGTGTGTGTGTGTGTGATTTAGTTGTCAATGTCTGTATTATTCACGTGCATTTGTGTTTTCGATGCCGATGCAAAGTGACCAAAAGTTCATTTCAACCTACTCGGGCGAAATGGGCGAAGGACAAAATGCTTCAAACGCCACTGGTCACTCAACCACACGTCTGCGCCAGTGGAACATAGGGAGGCATGGGTAGACTAATTTATAAAATACAACACCCGACTTCCAAACTCTGCTGCTGTGGAGAATTTTTTTTTTCAACATCGGCAACATCTTCCAGCCAGAGGACCACTCTGGCCAGTGCCAACTTTGACAAACTGGTCTTTCTCAAGCGGAACATGAAACCTCTGCCTTTAATCTCATTAATCTCCCACGGCCTCATGCACGGATTCTTTTTTTTGGGGGGGGCGGGGCAGACAGGTGAAATGTCAGGACGGAAGTGCTTTAAAAGGAAAGGATGGAGGCTAATTATTTTATGAACTTTATTATTTTATTACACTTTATTTATCACTGGGGCATACACTGTATGTTCTGTTTCAGAATCTGTGTGGATTTTCTACTTATTTACTTTTACAGCAGATAGTTTGATCTCGACAGTGGATTACACAGCACCCCAGCCATTGCTGTCACATGGTCAGATTTGCACCCAGGAGGCTCGGCTGGCCTGAGCCAAAAGCAAAATGTGGATCACACTCCTCACGGGCTCACCACCTGCGACTGGGGCCATAGGGGTCAGGTGCAATGTGAGCTGGGTGTCGGCCCAAGGCTGAGGTTGATTCCCAGTTAAAGAAGCTGGCGATTAGGACGTAGAATATCACCTCTCCGGCAGCCAACTGGTGTACGAGGTCAAGAAGTTGTGTCTAGACAAAGTCATGCTCAGCTTGACACACAACTTGGACTCTGGGACTATTCCTATTGAGAGGGGTTGGACTCTCTTCCACTTCAGAGTTGCCCACGATGAGAGATGCCGAGCAGGAGTGGACATACTGAGTGGGGCCTGGCTCTGTGCCTGCGCATTGGGGTTCACCCCGACTGATGAGAGGGTAACCCCACCTTGCCTTTGCGGGGGGAGGGTGGGGGTGAGTAAGTCCTGACTGTTGTATGTATGGTGCTAACAGCACAGAGATGGAGTCCTCTTGGGGACTCCATCATTCTGCTGGGGGACTTTCACGCTCGTGTGAGGAATGACAGTGTGACATGGAAGGGCGGGATTGGAAGGATCAGAACTCGAGTCTTCTGTGTCTGTTTCTGTTCGGACCTCTGTGCTCGTCAAGAGTTGTCCAAAACAAACACCGTGTTCAAACATAAGTTTGTCTATATGTCCACTTGGCACCAGGACGCAGCAGGCCAATATTCAATGACCGACTTTGTGGTATTGTCATCAAACTTGTGGCTGCATATGATTGAATGAATTCGATTTGCGTGAATGAAACGCTATTGTTCCAATTTTCTGGTTCATTTACTTGCCCTGTTCTTTTCTTTTGGCTCCTCAAACTGTTAGCCTGAGTGTGACTAGTGCATCGGTAAACAGCGCCAAGGCATTTAGTCGAATAATGCTGTAGCAATAGCAATGAGTAGCTAGACAGTGCAGTAGAATGGCGGACTGGCAGCTCGGCTTTCTTGAAATGATGTCACTCACCGGAGATTGGTGAATAAAAGCATTTTCGTTGTGAAGTACGTTGTTATGGGTCTAACAATGAGCCAGGTTGGGTTGTGTAAAAAAAACAAAAAACAACAACAAAAATCTAACGAGTATGCTTAACACAGCCATAAGTACGACTCAACAGATGGTTTGCCAAGTTTACTCCACAACCCTTGAGATGCCCCAGGGGTTAAGGATGGTGAAACTGCATTCATACCTTGAAAGTTTATCTCTGCACAGTCATCATTTGTATCCACTCTTGGCCGATTATTAGCCCAGTCCTCGAAATCAAAGGGTGATCCATCTGTCCAAACAAAGTCTCCATCCTGTTTGAAGAAGTCACATTTTAGTGACATATCCAAAGGTAAAACTCTTCGACTTTCACCAAATGACTGTTTTATTTCTCTGTCTCTTGTCTTTTAATGGGATCCTAACACTTGCTGATGTTTCATTCTTTCTTGTCTTACTTATTTTGAGATCGGAGGGAAAAGAAAAACATCATCTGAGAAAGTTGGGCTTGGTTAATGGGTTTTCACTTGTATCGCACTTTTCTACATTAGGTCGTCAAAGTACTTGAACACTGCTTCCTCATTCACCTACTCATGACACAGCTTAGGAGCAACAGGTGGGTTCAGGATCTTGCTCAAGGACACTTCTAGGTCAAAATTGCTGGGGATCTAACTCACACCCTTTGGTTTGGAAGACGACCGGTCTACCACTGAGCCATTCTGCCTCATTAAAAAAATCTAATTATGATTTTTACCCTTGATGCATAAGTGAGTGGACCAAGACCTTCCCATAAATGTCACGTTAAAAATGAACCATATCAGAATCATTCCTTTTTGAAACCATTTTGGATAAGTATAATTATTTGTATTGTATTATGTATTAATTTTGACCCACACACCTCTGTTTCTATGTTGGAAATGCTTCATTTACAGTGATCCCTCGTCACTTCGCGCTTTAAGTTTTGCGGCTTCAGTTGTTTTCCCCAAATTGAGTACATTTTTTTATAATACAGCCATATCCGCACTCATATTGTGAAAAGACGCGTCATGTTTTTGCAGAAGAGAGAGGGTTTCCCGACATGTCGAACAAAGAGCTGACGAGTCTTTGTACGTGCCTACCTAAGCAAAGCGCGTGATTGGTTCCCGGCACGACATTAACCATTGAGAGGCACGAGTGGATTTATCCCACTAGCTGATTGGCTCCGTATCATCACCCGTCTGTTGACTGTTTTGTCGTACTGTATCTTAGTGTGGTGTTTGCGATAACTTTTTTTGGTTGGTGAAAATGTGATCCAATCATCTTTGCCGCCTTCAAAATTAATGTGTCCAAGGTGTGTGGGAGGATGCTCGTTCCTCCACGGCGATGGCACCATCAACAGGGATACATTGCTGTAACGATGGTGGCGGCGTGGAGTTGGTTCGCAACCTTGACTGGGCACCCTGATTTTGAAGGTTTCCCGACCCGGTCAGCTACTTTTTATGCACGTCACAAGGAAGCAATGACACTGACAGCTTTTACGTCACTAAAAAAAGATAAAAGTCTGATAAAAAACAAAAAAACAAATAAGAAGACAAAATGAACATCATAGCTCTAGCCGTAACCATGTTTTTCCTCCTATTTAAAAACCTTAGCCACACCGTCAGCGCCTCCAGCCCACGAGTAGAGTTAGAGCCGCCTCTTACACAACCAACATAAGCCTCTTAGCCTCTCTCAGAAAGCAAATTTGATGAATGTTGATGACTGAATCAGGTTTATTATGAAAGATTAGTAAATACGTGTACCATTGTAATCTTTGTCTCAAATATGTATTAGTACTGTTTACGTATTTTAAATATGCTGGTAACTGCGACGTTTCTAGCTTGCAACAACATCAATGATCAGACAGATCATGTGACTGGTCTGTTGTCAACTGCCTGTAGTCTCAGATCTTCACCAACAGAGGGTGCTAACATACTGTGGAACAGCCGTGAAAACCCAGTTCACGTTTAACTGTATGCAAACATTACATATACAAACAAACATGAACATTTCTTGGGAGAAGAAATCCTACTTCGAGGTCTTTCACTTTTTGGTGGGTTCCATTAAGGACGCTGATGTCCACACTCTGAATGCTAACATTGCCCAGCTCAGGAGTGATGCAACAATTACAATTACTGCCACTTGAAACACTTCAAAGTGGGGTTACACCCGGCGAATCCGAAACAGGAAACCCTTGATCCGCCCTCAAGAAGTCGCCTGCCAAGTGATGACACTTTTCTGTGCCGTCTTGATCCAACACAAACCAACGTGAGGTGTGCCAGCGTGTTGCTGGTGTTAGCCTGCAAGGCACACTGATTGAAGATGCTGTCCTTGCCTTCGGTCTTTCCTCAGCTTTTGATGATAACTTGCGTCAGAACAAGTGTGACTTTCCTTTTGTCTCCAATTCATGCCGCTTTCCATTGAACACGTATCCTCCATCACTGCAGTGGGCATGTGCCCCTTGAACCTCCAGTGGATCCATCACTCGCTGACCCACAATCGTATTTCTTGGTCATCCCGGACGAAGTTGTTTTCATCAACGATGATGTTTTGAGATACTAGGGTATCTCAAAACACAATTATGGAAGGAAACACACAGCTGGAAAGCCCCGTCCAGTTGGGGAACAATTGTGTATCTTTTTTTTTTTTTTTGCCAGAGCTGTGTGGGAAAGGCTTCTCACATTTATTTCTTTTTTAGAAAACGGTAATTGAAGTTTTGGATGGAGTGAGGATGTTTACGTGTAGCCTCTTCAGATGTCTTTTTAAAATTACGATACTTTTTTCATTATATTATGGAATACATTTGAATTAAGGTTTGAGAACCAGTACAGTACTTGAGTGTAATATGAACTGAATACCGATTATCCTACCATGTCTTGCATTCCATACAAAAATATTAATGAAGATTAATTATGCGTTGGCTTGGTTTTGATTCTCACTTGGGCCTACTACCCTACTGAATTAATTAATGTTTGTCATGATGGTGGTACATGGGGAGCTGGGTATTTTGAGGGGTATACTTGATGTTTAATGTTCAAGAACCACTGGAGTAGCTTAGGGGTGCCCATTACGTCGATCCTGATCGACCGGGAGATCTAGGACTGGTCCCAAGTAGATCCGAAAGGTGTAGAGGAGAAAAAAACCCGAAACAAAACATTTGTGTGTCTTTGTACGTTAGTAATATATTTTTTTGTGTTAATGTACACTGCACCCTAATCATCCTATCAGTCTCATTTTCACCCAAAAATATTGAAAAAAATAAAATAAAATAAAGCAGGTAAATCTTTAACCTAAGGTGGCGCGTGACCGACGTCACCAGAAGTTGTTAGCGCTCAGCAGTCTGCAAATGCAGCTTGTGATCAGAGCTGTTGTGCTATATCTTTTATCGTCATTATTCTCATTCAGAGTTTGCTTCGTGTACAATTCACCGAGGGCACGGGCAAAGAATAGGAATCTAGAGGGCTGAGGGAAGCACTTTAAAACGGGAGGTGTGAGCTACGATAGTCAACAGGCTGCAAAAGTGCATCGCTTGCTTCCGTGTCAGGCTTCTCATCATGGCGTGTGTGTGTGTGTGTGTGTGTGTGTGTGTGTGTGTGTGTGTGTGTGTGCGCGCGCGCGCGCGTGCGCGGTAAGGGGCGATCCCGGGAGGTTGGTTGATCGAAAAGTCGATCTTCAGTCCAAAAAGTTTGGGCACCCCTGGAGTAGATGAATGAAAATGCAGGTGCACTGAGATTCAGACTGATTTGAGTGCCTAAATTCGCAGTGAATTAACGAATCAAAAACAATTCTGAGCACCAAGTACTGTATTGCTGAGCTACAACATCTACAGTACCAAATATTTTACCTCAATCTTGTCATGGAGGCCAATCCAAGTGGGGGTAAAAGTTCCAGTCTCTTCCAGAATCAAGTGTCGAACTACTTCATTCTCCAGCGCGTTGTGGATTGAAACCAGATTTCCTCCAAGAACATTGCAGACAGTCTAGTTGGAGGAAAATATTGGGGGGAAAAAAATAAATGACGTCAAAAGTAGAAACATACTTTTTTTTTTTGCTTTCATTTCATGTGCAAGAGACTACAATGTGTGGTGGGGCATCAATATTGTACCTCAGCAAGAATAAATTGTAGTCTCTCATTTTGAAACAACAAACAGCGGGAATTAAGACGAGTCCAGCCAGGAGGGCAAAAGTAATCTGGAACATATTTTAGAACAAAGACATTTTGATGACAGAAGAACACTGGTTAAGAGTTGCTGCCGTACGGCAAAAACTTTCAGAGTTGGAACCCCCCCACCTATGAATGATCAAACTGTGGATAGCGTGGGACTCGATAAAACGGGATCGTGACTGGCCAGCCAACTCATCCAACCTAAACCCCATTTAAAATGTACGGTGTGTTATCAAGAGGAAAATGAGCTGACAGCAAGCGAAAAGAAATCAAGGCATATCATTTTGAAAATACCATATTTTCATTGATGTTCATGTGATTTTTTTTCCTGCAAATTCTGAGAAGCATATGGGGAACAAAACTGTGGTAATCTTACAAAAGTGACTGTTTATCCTGACAGACCGTTAAATGGTCTTACAACATTCGTATCCTGTGCTATATAAACAAAATGAAATGTTTTTTTTGAAACACAAATGACTATTTTGGTATTTTATTGTCAAAATATGATCAGGAGAGAACAGAGCACATTATGAAATAAGATTTTCAGTTATTTGTCAGAATTTCAGTCGTTAATTCAATTGTATTCTTTGTTGTGAGTCGACGTGGCACTTCATAGCATTTCACTTCACAGTTCGGCTTGACTTGGAGATAATTTGTCGCAGTGTCCATTCTCAAAGACTTCGTGTATTCTGTGTTTCTTTCTCACATGAGAAAATGCATGTTCACTGTCTGCATTGCATGCGGTACATATGTACCATATTTTCCGAACTGTCAGGCACACCTCAAAGCATTCCATTTTCTCAAAAGCTGACAGCCGATGCGCCTATAATGTAAAGAGCCTGAAACTCTCTTCATATTCCCCATTGAGTTGTTTTCCCTGTTAGTGTTCCTATGCCATCGAGTGGTGATTATTAGCAGGAACTAATTGTAACCGAAAAGGTTTCTGCCCGACACTAATCGTGCATTCGTAAAGTGCATTCACCAACACACACTCAGACAACTACTTTGTGAGCTCTGCTCAGCCATTATGAAACAAAGATAATACCACAAGCATAGTTAACTACTGACTAAACCAGTGTTTTCAAACACTGTGCCGGCACATGCAGGGTATGCCATCTGAAATTATCCAATTTGTATGCCTGTGCAGTCGATCTTCTGGCAGACTAATCATGTGGTACTCTTCCATACGGGCAGGTAGTAGCAGCAGCTAGCTAACGGCCTTGTGCTTCGAGATAAGCGAATTAGTGGTGCATGGATGCTGGATGACGGTGAAAGTGATGGATATGTTTTTGAAGAGGAAAAATGCTGACTCTGAACTGGACCCAGGACAAAATCCGGACCCAGTAGAAGATGCTAGTCCAGTGTTTTTCAATATTTTTCGAGCCAAGGCACAATTCTCTCATTGAAAATAATCCTGCATCACACCACTTGTTGAAAATGTAAAAAACAAAAAAAAATTACGTTAACAATTTAAATGTTGTATTGTTATAAGGGCTTTCTCATTTACCTTTGCAGTTTTTCTCATGCACATTGCTTGTTTCTCCATGTGTTCACGCAGGCGAACAAAATACTCCACAATTCTGTTTCGAAGTGAAGGGTGTTTTGTTTGGAGATGGTGTTTAATCTTACTTGGGACCACAGTGCTCTTGGAGAGCTTTTCACCACATACCAAGCACAACGGCGTTGGTGCCGGTGCATCTCCCGTAAAAGTAAATCAAAACAAACATAGCTTTCGCCAAATTGCTTTGCACCAGAAACTTTGTTGGGCGTCTTTGCTTTCTTTTGACCTCCACTCATACGATGACAGTGATTTTCAAACCCAGTGTGCCTCGAGACATTGCCAGGTGTGCCGCGGGAAAATATCCAATTTGATCCTGTGCGGTCTATCGCCCAGAATGTAATCGTGTCGTACTGTTAGGTTGATTGTTTTTAGTTATCATACATTTGCATATTATTAATGATTAATTGATTATGCTTGAAATGAAGAATGCTTATGCTTTGAATAGAAATATAATGCTTTTAATGAAGATATGCTCACATTTGTAATATAATACCCATTTCCACTGCCGCCAAATCACGGGTAAACGCGCTTTTTTGGGCAGTGGAAAAGGATTGTCGATCCATGTCGATCCGTACCCACCAGCACGCCATCGGAGGCAGGTTGTGATCGCCTTGGATCGCCTCTGCTTGAAGTGTTAAAGCCTAACACGGGACTTCCCGGTAATTATGTTATGATATAGGGCGGTACGTGATGCGTCATAACATCGTGCACCATCGGCCTCGAATATAGCACGCCCCCACAACAAAGCTAGGAGATCGCCCTTTAAGCTGTTGTCTCAGTAGTAACAAAGAGTTGATCCTCCGCTGCTTTTCGACCATTTTGACGACAGCAAAAAGCATGATAAAAGAAAGAACACTCACTTCCATGTTGCTTTGTTTACCACCAAGAAATCTGTCGCACTATCATCGACGCAATCACAGCGTGGTGATGTAACCAGACGCAAAGTGGTGGAAGGGGAGGTGGGGGGGACGCAGAATCGCCTTCTGTCGGTCAATGGGAAAGGGACATATTTCCAATTGGTTGCATGTCGCCACGGATCACTACTACCCGCTAATTTCAGTGGGAAAGGGGTATAAGAATGC